TCCATTTTGAGTTGACTTTTGTGTATGGTTTAAGGGAGTGTTCTAGCTTCACTGCTTTACATGCTGCTGTCCAGTTTTCCCAGCACCATTTGCTGAAGAGACTGTCTTTATTTCATTGTATATTCTCGCTTCCTTTGTCGAAAATTAGTTGACCAAAAGTTTGTGGGTTCATTTCTGGGCTCTCTATTCTGTTCCATTGGTCTATATATTTAAAAAGCATGTAAAATATTTGAGTAATTCAATTTTTAAAAATAGTTAAAGTAATAAAATATTAGGGTGTAAGTTTTCTTTTCTAAAGAGTTCAATTATATGAAACTGCTCCATCTTAAAACAAAGCCAAATAAATGTCACTATTTTGAAGCCCCAATTCTTTGGTCATGCTGTATTATTTTTCACTGGTATGATTTTTAAATTTTTTACTAAGTTAAAACCATATTCATAAAATAATCAGGTAATGAGCACCAAAAAGCATATGAAGACTTCAATTAACTTTGCTTCAAATCAAAGCAAAAGTGAATAAAGAGGTAAAATAATCTGTATATAGACTGGGGTAAAAAGATGGTAGAGACAAGGGTGCGGGCCTCACAGTAGCTCTGTAACAACCTGCTATGCAACTATGAAGGGCAGTCTATGCTCCTGATTACCCAGTCTACCCACCTCATACAAGTACCATGAGGATCACATGATAGGAGATACCAAAAGCCTTTGGCAACATTAAAATGTGATAAATGAATACAAGTTTTTTAATTGGGTAAAAGGAAAATTCTTCAGTGAAGAAAAATAGGCCAAATGTCAACTGAAACCAGATAAAGTACAGATATTCAAAGAGTCAGCAAGATGCCCTGGTTTCCTCCATCAATGGAGGCTACAAGCTAAAATAACACAGCAGTTTCAGATGGATTCAACCTGGCCCACAGGTAGAACCGGTCTGGTATTTATTTTAAAAGAATGCTTTTTAAATGTTGAATTGGTTGCTTATATTTTTTTAAATCATGCAACGTCTCAAAAAATTGCGATTCTGTGTTTTGCTTCTAAAAATTTTAAGATCCAAGACTACTAGGCTGTACAACAATTTCACTGTAGCTGAATAGTGGCCACTCCCTTTAGATGAGATAGGAAATTTTCAAAATGAAATAGTTCCTCCCTGTCCCTTTCACTGATTTGCAGTATCCTACAGTATGTAGGTGGAATACTGGGTTGCTTATTTTAGAGATCCTTTGGTTTGGGCTAGTTGAGAAGAGGGATTCTATACAAATTATAGAGCGCCATCCTCCCCAAACATGCACATGCGTACACACACACACAAACAACTGTCAAGTGACAGTGATACTGTTTCTATAAATTAATAAAAATTAAATATTCAAGATAGTTTCAGAAACTTCTACAGCTACATAAACATCAGTGTCATATTATTCCCATTTAATCATTAAACTTGCAAGGCCAAATCAACCCTAAATGATTAATCTCAAAAAACAATCAGAAACTCAAGGGAAATTCTCTGAGTGACTTGCCACTTAATCTAATTTTGGAAGGAATTACTACATGGGTTCCAAAACTCTGCTATACACAGGTATTTCAAAAATACTCCGATCTTTCAAAAATACTGATACCCGGCTCTCATCCCCACACATTCTGATATAATATGGGATATGATCCAGACACTGAAATTTTTTTAAGTTCCCTAGGTGATTCTATCGTAGCTTGGAAAACACTGAATTATTATAAAAAATAATTCTGGTTCTATAATATACAAGAAAGACATAAATTTCTTACTAGAAGGAAGTACAGAAAGTTCTCAAAGCTTACATAGCAAATGATCAAAAAGTGAAAATCAGGAAAAAGGATAAAGGAGGTTTACTATACCTGGCATTTAATAAAACAAGCAATACATTTACAATTCATTTTTGTGGTCTGAATGGTTACTATGCAATAAATTCATCAAAAATTACCTTCCACTGACAGTAGAACAAAAGTCTTTCAAATTTTTCATTGAATTGTTGGAACTCTGAGAAATACAGGCAACAGTGTCATCATACTACAAACATTTACTCTAAGCAATATTGTATTTGTAATGTCATGAGGTAAGTGGATCAAAAATTCCTTTATTAAATAAAAGTATAATTTCTCAGAAAATTATGTATCATTCAACAAATATTTACCCAGCAATAATTGCTAAGTGGTAAAAAATGTGTAGACACTAAGATTACAGCACTGAACAAATGAAGAAAACAAAACAAAAAATCTACACCCTCAAAGAGGTTATATAAATCTAGAGAGGGAGTTGGGAGAGACAAATAAATAAATAAGTAAACTGAAAAGGAAAGTCAGAGAGCAGGGGACGCGTGATTTTCAACAGAGAAATCTGGAAAGAAAACATTTGATAAAAGACTTTAAAGTGGTGTTAGATGACATAAGTAGGTAGTATACCAAAGGCAATAAAATACATTAATAAAGGTGATAATACTGGCATAGTGAAACTGATAAATCTAAAGAGTACCATACCTCCGTGTGGGATCTTTGGGTTCTCAGGAAGTCTTCCTGGATCAGTTATTGAGGCCCTCACTAAGGCAACCAGACAAAATATGGCAATGCCATAGAATACTTTGAAATAAATAAATTAATAAAATCAGTATTTACTCTTCAAAACATTTTTCAACAAGCATATTTAAAGCTTAAATGTATATTTGAATTAACATTACTAGGATAATTTTCAACAGATAAGATGGAAAAATTAAATGATTAATACTGCTAAGAGGGCTTTCTTAAATGTACTAATTTTAAGTATCATTTTGTATGATAATAACTGATAAACCTGCAATAAATTAGATTTTTTATTAACAGAAATTCCCGATCAATATGGTATAAATTAAATGGTTCCCTTTTAATTATTACATGTACTATATCTGAAAGAATCAAAGTAACATTTTTAAAACTATTCTACAATTAAACGTTTCCATGAAGCCTAACTCACCAGCTTCAAAATCATTTTGAGTTAGTGAGGTTCAATTGCTCTTTTCAACAGATCCTAAGATATTTAATTTGAAAATAAAAAATCTAGCTACTATATGTAAAAATAGATTAAAAAAGACAAATTTCTTCTGTATAGCACAGGGAACTATATTCAATATCTCATAATAACCTTTTATGAAAATGAATATATGTATGTATGTATGTGCATGACTGGGACATTGTGTTGTACACCAAAACTGACACATTGTAACTGATTGTCCTTCAGTTAAAAATAGTAATAATAAATAAAATTTTAAAAATAAAAAAATAAAAAATCTAGAAATGTTTGAGTATTAAAATGAATAACTAGAAAAATAACAGTAAGGGAAAATAAATTCATTCATCATAATTCTACCTTTTAAATGAGAAAGTAATAAGCATTTTGTTGGGAGGATAAAGAAGCACTGCACCTGTACTACGAAACAATTCAAGTGCTAACTCTAGGACTGACTGCATGGTAGTGGTGAGTTTTACCATTTATAAAACAGAAATTATATTTTCCACAGCTCTTGTGAGGTGAAAATGACATAATACACATGAAAACTGTAAATGCCATGTACATGCAAAACATATCATCCAGTCTTTTTCTTTTAATCATAAGCAAGACATCACCAATGAACTGTAGCGGAAAATAATTATCCAGAAATTCAAAGTGTTATCATAAGCAACATCATACTAATTTTTGTATCATGAAATTTTCATCTCTCAATAATGCATATCATCTTCATTCTTGAAACTTCTTCCACATTTGCAATAAGTGTGTATCAGAAATATTAAAAATACACAGACACAAATTAGTTCCACTTTGTCAGTCTCTTTTTTAAACAAAATGGTCTATATAATTCATAGAGTTAGATGTGGAGATATCACGTTTATTTAACTCTGAAAAAGATATAAAGGCCATTCTTTTAAAAAAATCATCCATAGTGTAGTAAATAGTTTCATATTAATAGCTTTGAATAATATTAAAAGGAAGGTTATCATAGTGGTACTATACTCCAAAAGTATTCACAATGAGAAAAATATTTGACTGTATAAAGAAATAAAGATCTAGAAACTTACTTATTATTAATACACCCGGAATATGTCCTTCTTCATAGTGAGGAAAGAGGATAATTTTGGGAATTAAAAAAAAATTGTATAACCAGACAAAAACAATCAAACCCATGCAGCACCAACCATGTGGGTCAACAACAAAGTGAATCCGAAGACCCATCTTGCAGTCCTCTGACTGCCTGCCAACCCACAAGGGAAGATGATCCTAAGAAGAGGGAAAAAGAAAGCATTACTTACATAGAAAAAATTATTTGACAAAAACAAAACTATGTCACTGGAAACTATAAAATAACACTTACTGAGTTTTCTTTGTAGATATATTTTTGACAAAATAAAACACTATGGAAAACAAAGAGAAGTTTCCAGATACTCAAATTTCACCATAAGCTTCAAATAATTTAAATTTTCAATAGGAATTGCCATCATACAGTGTAAACTGGCATTATTTTCTGAAGTTAAACACAAGTCTGTCCTTAACTCAGCAACTCCATGCATAAACCCAAGAGAAATGAGTGCACATATCCACCCAAAGATATGATTAAAACTACTACAAAATTTTGTACATAAAACTAACTGATGGTCATACAAGTCAAAATAGTGGTCGTCTTGTGGTGGGAGGTGTGTTGATTAACTGGAAAGGAACAAGGAAGAAAACTCTGAGGAGCTAGAAAGATTCTATATGTTGACCTGGGTGGTGCTTTACAGAAATATACACATGTAAAAACTCACTGAGCTATACAAGTAAAATTGGTGCAATTTAAATTTAAAACCACAATAAAATGCTTAAAAATCATTGTGAAAAATTATAACAAAAAGTGAAAATTACAAATTGTCAAAAATATTTAAATTCACAGGATGAAGCCCAATTAATATTACTATCAATTCGAGAAGACTCCTGTTTAAATGGGGCTTTTTTTCAGTTGAGTGTTAACAAAATACTAACAGGTCTCCTAATGAGACACTTAAGATACTTCTACATATGGTAGAAAAAAAGTGACTTATGAAATATATCCTTACTTTTGCAAATATAAAGCTTAAATAATAAATTTACTATACAAGATCTAGGGGACAACATTTACATAAAATACAATGGAACAATACAATTCTAAACTTCACAATGTTTCTCAAACCTGTAAGCAATCTAGAATCAACTGAGGAGCTTTTGAAAAATACTTATTCCCAGGCCCCACTCCAGAGCTACTGAATCATAATTCTTTATGGAGTAATGCTCAAAAATCAAAAAAATGGTCTAAAATGCATCCCAGGTGTCTCTGATATTGCTGACTGGCATCTAGGAACCACTGATCCAGGAGATTTACTAAGACTTCAATGTTACAGCAATGAGTTGAACTCAGTTCAACAAACACTCATTGAGCCTCTACTACATACCAGTCACTTGCTAGACACTACAGATGCAATGATGAATAAGACCTGGTCTTTGCTTAAAGGAATAATGGGGGAAAAGAGTCATAAACGGGTTCAAAATGATATAATACATTCCAGAGATATCGACAAGATCTTATTATATATACACAGAAAGATGGGGCTAATTAAATCAGGGTAAGACTTCCTGTAGGGGAGAGAACTGAGTTCAGTCTTAAAAGACTAGTAAAGGTTATCCAAGCAAAGAAAATTGACGACACTGCAAACAGAAGAGCAGGAGGTACACAAGAGGAAAAATTGTAGGAGGTATTATAAACTGCCATCATAAATTGTAAAGCTTTCAGTGGAGAGTGAGTGGTAAGAAATAAGGGGCACATGAAGGACACAAAGATGCCACACTAGTTAGAATGCTAAGACTTCATTCTTAGGCATTAGAAAGTTACCAAGGCAAGGGGTTAACATAATGAGACGTATACTTTTAAATAAATATTGAAGCTCTTGTGTGGAGGATAAAAGTAAAGATTGTTTAGGCTAAGAGAAGACAAAAGCCAAACTTAGTTTTGGAGAAGAGATTAACTGAAGAAATAGAATCAAACCTGTAAGTTTCACTAACTGACTGGATATTAGGAGTCACAGAGAAAGATTCCCAGATTTCCAACTTATATATCAGACTACTTCATTCTAGGAGTAATTTACCATCAGTTGAAGAGACTCAGGGTAGCATTCCTTACAGGCCTTGCCAATGCTCTTTAAACTACAAAGCTACCAGGACAAAGAAAAAAAGATTAAGGATTGCTTAGCTTTAAAGAATATCCCTATTCTATTATCCTTGGAACCTGGAAATAGTGAGACAGCAGGAAAAAAGCCAAGAACTCAAATGCAGCATCACTCAACTGTTTAAATCAGATATGGTCTAAATTAGTACCTACGTATGAATTTTAAAACAGAAAAAAATGCCCAGGCCTTAAAAAAGTGAAAGCTGAACTTCATTATCTTTTAACTAGAAAATTAAAAGATCCATCAGTATTATTAAAGTGAGAAAAGTCACAGAGAAAAAAGCATGCTATTTAATTTGCTAGGTATCATTACTTTAAAAACTACAGAAGCTCAAACACAAATGATAAGCTATCAACATGGCTAAAAAGAGAAACACTGAAAAAACTTTATTTTCACAGTCTTGCCAACCATCAAGTGCCAAAAGAAATGACAGAAGGCTCTGTCTCTCAGCTTGTTCAGTACAACTTCATACACCTTCTTCATTTTAATGTTTCAGTTCCACTCAGGACTGTAAAAAGCAGATGATGAATTCTAATAATTGTAGAGAACAGAGTAATTTCACTACTTATTCCTAAATTTATTAATATTAGAAACAAAAAAGCACACAAGCCAGCAAAACAAGTAGCAAAATTATCAAACACTCATTCATCTTTTTGAACTCTATTTTTATTCTCCTCTACCAGAGAATAACAAATTTTTCTTATCACTACTAGAGAATCCTTATAACAGAAACTATTAATATAAAGTATGGTGTCTGTTTTTCCTGGATGTAAACACACACAGACAACAAGCTCTAAAAGAACAAGGAAAAGTGAGCAAAAGATAGGAAAATAAAACAATGAACAAATAAGACACTGAATACTTTTTTAAATACCTGATTACTGAAAATTAGTACCACATAATCCTTAAAACTGGACTGTAGAGAAGAAAACAGTAGCCTTCTGAGAGCTCCAACTCAGATTACAACCAGGAACATGTAACTGGTAAGTTGCAGGATCGTTCCACTCAGTTAATATCTACCAGGCGTGGCTCATGGCTGAACAGAAACTATTACACATCCTGAGCAACAAGCAAACTGAACACAATGCTGCTACCCGGTCCTAAGGGTGGCATCCGTAAATACTCTCATCAGCTAGAGAATCCAACATATTAATTTGTATATTAAATGGTGAGCTCATAACTCAACCTTTGATGTAACTAGTGGACACACTGGTACTTCAGCATTTTTTAAGGTTGCTATCTGCTAGCTACACTTGAGTGCTGTGACTAATTTCATTAATGGTGTAAATTACTACAGCACAACTTTTATTTTAAAGAAATTATAACTCATCTCTAATAAACTGAACTATAAAAATATCTGCAACATATAAACTACTCTGGTAGGAAACTGCCTTTCCTTTCTTGCCTTTTCAGGCAACTAAATTTCCCCACATATTTTCCTCAGGAAGAATACTGGAGTCACTACGAAAAGAAAGTGACAGAAAACTTTAACACCAGAATGCAGATTTTAGAAAATGATAAAAGTTAGCCAAAATAATTTACAAGATATCTAGCCAAATGATTATCTCTAAACTTATAGTTTTATATGCTCACTACGTCAGCCAGTGGTCTTAACTACTGTTCCATGAATATGAAAATTGTATTTCCTCTCCCACTCCTTCTATCTGAAATGTCTCTACCATTTTGCCTTACTCTGTTTAAATTCAACTCATACTTCAAGGTCAATCTGAATCCACACTCTATATGAAATTTTTCCTGGCACCTTAGTTCACAGTGCTTTCTCTTTCTCTTCTAAATTCCAAATAAAAAGCAAAACTAGTAGAAGAAAATAGCAAGTGATTTCATAATCTTGGAATGAGGAAGACCTTCACAAACAAGACCCATAAGCCATATCTGACCATATAAAAATTAAAACTCCTGAAGCTAAAACACACTAGAAATGAAATTAAAAGACAGAGGGGTATAGCTTAAGTTGTAGAGCACATGCTTAGCATGCACGAGGTCCTGGGTTCAATCCCCAGTACCTTCACTAAAAATTAATAAACAAATAAAATTACATCCCCTCCAAAAACAAAAACAAAATTAATAAATTAAAAAAAATTTTTTTAATTAAAAGACAAAGCACCTCTGGAAAAAATTGACTAGAATAAGACTAGTAAGAGGCATACCAAGTAAACACATAAAGAGGCAATTTACAAAAGAAAAAAATCCAATGGTTAATCATTACTGATTAGGAAAATGTGAAATAACTAGATATATTTTTCATCCTTTGTACTGACAAAATTTTAGAAAGACAGATGATACCCAGGGTTCAGAGGGCATTAAAAAGAAGGACACCCTCATCCATTACTGATACGCATGTAAACTGATACAATCATCTCTGGAGGATAATTTGGCAGTATCTATTATAATGTCAAATTCTTTGACCCAGCAGTTTTATTTCTAATAACATCTGCAAAAGTATTCATTAGGGTGTATAGGTATACATACATACAAGGATGTCCAATACAGAGCTTTTTGTGATCACAAAAATAAACACAACCTAAATGCCCAGGAGAGGGAGGGGAATGAGCATATACAGCAAATTATAATACATCCATAGTATAGACCATTTCTAAGCTACCAAAATTTTTAAAGGAAAAAAAGAGAGAGTAAAAAAAAAGGAGGAGCTCTACATTTGCATATGGCTGAGTGAAAAGAAGCAAGTTACATAGGCAAAATCTATGGTGGGGGGAAATACCTTAATAGTAGTTTCCTGAAGGGGAGGATAAAGACAGACTAGGAAAAGGCATAAGGGAACTTTCTGGGATACTGATAAAGATCTCTATCTTGATATGAGTTTGAGATACACAGGTCACAAATTTGCTGAAACTCAGCAAATGTACACTTAAGACCAATACATTTCATGGTATATAAATTTACCTTTAAAAAACCCTGTAAACCAAAATTGAACTCTAGTTAATGATATGTTTATTGAAATATTGGGGGAGGGGCAAGTATACTGATGTCTGCAATTTACTTGGAAATGGATCCAAAAGAAAAAAAAGTGGAATGATGGGCAGACAGAGATGGACAACTCTATGACATAGTTCAGTAAACTATCAGTTGTAGAATCTAGATGGTCAGTACTCAGATGTTACACTATAAAATTCTTTCAACTCTCTGTTTAAAATTTTTCATAATTAAATGTTGGAGGGGGAAGGTAAGTTATAGAAAAGTTTATATAACATGATTCTTCTTTTGTTAGAAAACATATAATGTATAAGTAATTTCTGTATGTGTGGAAGAAAACACACCTACCAAACTGCTAACAATGGTTATCACTGAGCTGAGGAAGGAAATAGTGAGAAGGAATGCAGTCACTATACATGTACATACATACACACACACACACACACACACACAAACACACACACACACACTTAGGTGTTCTTCTAAGTTTATTAGTAAACATACATACTTCTGAACTCTTCTAAACCAACTGAAAAATAAAGATAGCCAAAGGGGTATGATTCAACATTACAACCTAACAAAGTCTCTTTATCACTGTCTTTATCGCTATGTATTATCTCTATATGAAATGCTTTTTAAATTAGTATCTTTGAAAATGCAGCACAGAAGCAAATAAGATTTCTAATTCAGAAAGATGCTTTTTAAGCTTGTATTACTTACAGATTATTTTTCTCTATGGAAAAAGTCTTATTTAAGAAAATGTGTAGATAAAATTTAGTATGAAACATTTTACATAAAGTAACATAATTTTTGCAAATAAAAACTTGTTAAATTCATCTAAACATAACACTTCAAGGCTACTATGCAACATGATTGAGAAATATATTCCCATTAAAATCAAACGCACTTACCACTTGAAATTTCACTGAGGTGTGCGGTAATTTTTCTGGTACTTGCATCTAGAGGTTTTATCTTGATTCATTTTTTTTTATTACATCCCAACAAATGGATTTCTCCTCAATAACAGTTATCCATGAGAATCTATTAATGGTTTAACAAATAATGATCTCACAACAAAGATAAAAATTAAAAGCAGCTAAATATGCTAACTGTAAAAATGTCAATTACAAAAGTTTAAATTTAGAAATAAGATGATTCAACTCCACTTAATTCTGTTGATTTTGTATCCAATCAAGCCCCTCAAATCTTTATTTGATTACCATTAAACACGAAAGTTCTCTCTTTTGAAACCACTCACATCTCATAAATTCAGATTAGCATTGTGTCCAGCATTTGGGCTTCATCAAACTTCCTAACCACAATCACAAAATAACAACAGATTCTGAGGTTACCGATGTGACAAAATGCAATCTGTTATCTTTCAAGATCTTAGGCTAGGCCTCTCTAATCACAACTGATAAACATAAAATAAGAGTCTAAAACAGAAGCACATTTTAGTTTAAATGTTTTAAGGAAAAATGGTATCCTCCTATAACGAAACCATTAAGAGAATCAACCGTAAAAGTTAGTTTCTCCTGTTCAGACAAAGAATACTGTAAAAAGTTCTAGAAAACATAATTCATACTTCACTAATTTAATCATTACCTATTGACTATATACTATGCCTTGGCACTGGGTATAGACTAAAAAAAAAAAAAAATACAGAGACTATCCTCAATGGAGACAAACTAGTAAATAGACAAGGTCAATACATGTATGAGAAGATACAACAGAGGGCAAGGGGGCAAGAATGTATCTCATTTAGGAAGGGTATTGGATCATGGAACTTTTTTCAGTTACATGAATATTTATGTGTGTGCTAGGCTGCAGTATAAAAGGTATTTCTTATGGCAAGTTGACATCAGGAAAAGATTTCTGGAGAGAGTGAAACCTGTGAGTTAGATGAACAATGGAGACTCTTCTGAACAAGAGAGCAAAGCAAAGGTACAAGAGCAGGCAGAGGAAATCTGAGTAAACTGAAACGACTAGAGTCAATGCAAACTGAATGCAGTAAAACATAGCTAACCTTTCGAACACAATCATCACTAAGAAATACAGTTCATAACATTTGGTATCATACACACAGAAATATGAGCTATGTGACTATATACTTCATACACATAAAATATATAACTGAAAAATTTTAGTGGCACGATATTTACCCTGACTATATGTGACAACCTTTGATACTGTACTATTTTATTCTATGTCACTTTAATAAAAATATATAATGCTGGTCACAGCCTACTAAACTGATTTCATGACCTACAATTAGAGTGTGATCTAAGAGCAGAAAGCACTGTTAAGCCATGCCAGTGAGCTTGGACTTCACCCTTAACATGGTGGTTTGGAAATCACTGAAGGATTATAGGCAGAAAAATGCCTTGATGAAATTTGCATTTTGGAAAGAATAGCAACACTTTGAGGAATGGACTTGGATGGATAGATAAGGCTTCAAGACTGACTACATGAAATATGATAGGCTTACTGGTTACCCAAGTGAGAAATGAGAGCATATGGTAAGTACCCCAAAAAGCAGTAACTTCTAAAGAAGTGGGGAGGGGAGGGAGTGAGGAAGGGACATTTAAGTCAGGAGGTATGCTAAAACAGGGCAGAAAAGAATGTAATGAGTAAAACCAATAGGACGTGGTGACCAATCAGAAGCAAAGGGCGGATTCTAGGATGACCCCCCCAGTTTTTGGCTTAGGGTCTAGGTGAAGGCTGGTACCATTCTCCAAGAAAGGAAATAAAGGACAAGTTGTGAGTTTGTTAAGCATACTGCTTACCATAGCAGTAGGAACCCATTACACACTGAGGATGTAAAAAAAAAACCATTATCATTACATTTCCATTCCCTTTATAGACTTTTTTTAAACAGTATTTTCTCCCAGGGTCAATTTTTCTATGGTCCAGGATCGTTAGACTGTGAAATGTAACTTGCTTCTAGTCTAACTTTCTAAGCTAATTTAAAGTGGTCTCCTTGGCTGCACATTTGCTTCTTAGGAGACAAAATACAGAATGACACAGTAAAGGAGCTGCAATTCCAAAGGCAAAGGAATGAATTCAACTTCTTCTA